CGTTTTCCCACCAAAATGACGCTTATTCACGCGCGCGCTTTACTTATTATTGAGAAAATCTCGTTTGCGTAGTCGCCTCTTTTTGGAATTTAAAGGTCTCTATCAACGTGCATCAAAAACATCGCCTCTTTTGTTTTCTGCACAGATTAAGCTTAGAAACTGTTTTGGTATTTCAGATACAATGACTTTAAACACGAACCTTTGTCTCGTTGTAACTGCACCCCACCTTACAGTGGAGCGAATGGCATCTCTGCTCGCTCAGATCTTAATCCCGCAGACGGAAAATATCCAATTAGTGCACTGGGACACAGAAAGAGCGGCGGAACTGATGCCAAGGTACGTCTCGCTTTGATATTAAGTTATGTATTTTAGCACAGACAGACGGAGCTTAAAGCAGCCTAGAGAGAAACCGAGTGATTGGCATTCTGAAGAAACCAAAATTAACTGATTTTCCGATGGTACTGACTAATCAAGTTTAATACAATCAACTGGCAATTCAGAACTCATTTTGAATCTGAAGATGACCAGCATACAGGTTGTCGAAATACCCGTCCGGTCAACAATAGAGGATTCAGCTGATTCAGGACGGCACTCACTCAGACGGTCTTTAATAGGGAGCTTAAGCAAAGGCGTTTTTGAGCGTCGCACGTCGACCGGAAATGAGATCTTTTTCATTTTAAAATGAATTGACAGATACCAAATTTGTATTTCTTCGTCTCTCAATCTCAAATCTCAAATCTTTATTTTAACACGGTAAAAATTCATCAGGTTTTTTGTTACATATGAAGTATAAACTACATAACAATATTTAATAATAATAAATACATATCTAAAGAGTCTCTTAAAAATACTACTCTCTTTCTTATTATAGACACGATTTGTCCAAAAATTTGGGCAAAAATACCGCTCAAGAATGAAAAAAGTCCACTTCCAGGTTGACGTGCGTCGCTAAAAAACGTCTTTGCTTAAGTTCCCTATTCTCGCCTTCGGCCGACGTCTCGCGGCTGTTTTCTGAGGCTACTAATGAAAGAAAAATAAAGATTGCACGAAAGACGATTCACTCTCAATCGTGACGCTCCAATTCCTGGAACAAACAGTGACTGGGCACGCACGCTATCTCTTACTTACTTTGAGGGGTTATATCATGAGAATAGTGCTGGAACAAACACTGACTGCGCACGCTCGCTATCTCTTACTTACTTTGAGGGGTTATATCATGAGAATAGTGCTGGAACAAACACTGACTGCGCACGCTCGCTATCTCTTACTTACTTTGAGGGGTTATATCATGAGAATAGTGCTGTTTTAGGTCATTTCTGTGCTCAACTCGTTACTTAGAGTTTTTACCCATACACGTAATGTTCCTGTATAGTTATGAAGAAGATATCAACTGGCATCAGCGATCACCAACCACAATAATAGCTTTAAATTACAATTTTTTAAAAAGTTTCATTCCATGTCCATCCTTGCTATTCATTGCAAAGACGACAAGCGGCAGTTTTAGCGTCTGGATATTGGCTTAAATAACAAAGCTATTATTTCAGTTCTTTGGGAAAACAAATTTTAGCCAGACTAAAAAGATATCAAATAGCGTGACATAGCCTCATTAATTAAATATCTTCTTTCCCGTGCCTGTTTCTTAAAAACAACCACCTATGGGAGTAAATGGGATTCTTCCATTCTCCATTTTCACATAGACCATAATACACCTTGTTTACCTCCGCCGCCTCCGCCGCCTCCCCACCCCCCCCCAAAAAAAAGTGTGTGCATAGTTATTAGAAAATAGTTGGTATACTAGTTATTGTATAAGACTGATACAAATGAAAAACATGTATGTATGTAACCACTGTCTTCGATATCTCTTGGGATGACTGTAATATCCAGAAGAAGTTAAAAGCAATGGTTATCCAAAATTTGGAGGCGGGGAGCAAGGTGCTCTATGGTCTATGTGAAAATAGTGGATGCTTAATGTACTTCATGGCAGCGGATTCAGTTTGAGGCAATGCGTAGCCTTGACTACGAGCAGTCTCTATTTTCCTTGTCCGTCGAGCGAAACGCGTGAGACACGTAAATGACCACCCGCATGACTGAAGGCGCGAGATGGGAGAGGCTCGACGCTCGCGCGCGTGCACTCCCCTCACTAAATCTTAAGATAAAGAGAGACTGCTTGCAATCTACGTGTAGCCTTCCGTAGAGAGCGAATAAAAATATTGCGATGAGGCTTTGTGTTTCGCTTAGTCTCGTTCTTAACCTGTTGGCTTTATATGTATTCAGATAACAAATTCAAAGATGATGAAGGAATTGCAGTGCATGGCGGTCAGCGGTCCTACCCATGATCAGCAGCCTGTATTTAAGTGGAGCACATCCGGTTGGAAACGTCCCATGGGGCACCCCGATGCGTGGAACTTTGAACCTGTCATGGTCTCTTGGGAATAATACGTTTAAGCCATAAGAATTCTTATGTTGTTGAACATGCTGAAAAGGGAACTTAGAAGAGTACAATCGAAAAAAAATACGCCTTTATTTTTTACATTCTGTTCTTTTGTTTGCTAAAACCCTATCAAAAAAAATATAGAAAGAAAAACTATGGATGGCCGGGACTCTTTATAAAGAGAGAGTAACGGTTATTCAGAAATAGTCTGTTTCATGTAACATTAAATTTTTGATAAAAAAAATTTCACTCAAAATTTCACATTTGTCCGCGAAGAAATGTTTATTTTTCGGACAATCTCTCAGTTGAGGGCATTATCCTCCGATATGCTAGTCGCCGGAAGGGGTTTATTTACTTAATAATCAGAGTATGGTGAAGGTAGTTAAAAGTGGAGAGTAAAGTGACATTTTTTGAAAGGTTTGTAAGAGTTTACAGGACAATAAAACGTTTTATAGTCATTACTAGCGTGGAGTTCCTTTTGCTTATTCCAGCAACACCAGCTGAGTAGCTCTGAGTCATGTGTACCTAAGGGAAGCTACTTGCTTCATACTGCGGGCAATTATTGCAATTGCTTCAATTTATCACAGATGGTTTCAAGATCAACTCGTGCAACTAAAACTACTGAGTTGTCGATCGATCTGATTATAACATCAAACCCTCACCAAGTTACTGAAACTGGTGTTATGCCAAGCTCGATAAGTGATCATGATCTGCCTTATGTCGTTATAATACAATACAATACAATACTTTATTCAAGAGATAAAAACTTAAGTCACAAAATATCTCTTTTGGCTTAAGAAACTCCGAGTTAATTGCATCTAAAACTTTCGGGAAACTTATACGATACGATACGAAACGATACGATACGATACTTTATTTCAGGTGGATATTATGCTTAGCTTGTAATTTCGAAAAGACTCAAGTTCCCCTATACTTATTTCATTTTATTTTATTAACTTCCTAAAATGAATAAAATGCTTAATAGGCAGAGGTGCCACAACAGCGATGAGCCAGTTACAGTGGTCCCAGATACCAAATATCGAACAGATACAAATTTTGTAGCGCCGCTTCGATTGGTGGACTAAAATGTTGGTGCTTAGAGTAGGCATAGAGAGAAATTAGAGCAAAGCTATAAGCCGAGAGGGACAAAACCTGGGTAAACAGCCCAAGTGTCTCGGCGGTTTCATTTTAGTTAAACGTAACTAAAACTAAAACTGTGACGAGTCATGCCCGCGAGCAACGAGTCAACCCACTTTATTTCGAAGCCCTCGCATGACAGGCACGAATGCAGTATGGTTCTTTTGAAGTCAAGTAAAGAGTTTGACGCCATTCAAGGAGCAGTAACTGCCTGATTTTCAAAAACTATAAACCATATAAGTATTTAAAAGAAAGATAGGAGTTTAGACCCACTTCAGCTCACTTCCAGCTATTTTAGACGGACCTACGGTGAAATCGTTCCGGGGAGCATACCCCCGCCCCCCCCCCCCCCCCCCCCCCCCCCCCCCCCCCACACCCCTCCCTCCTCTCGCTGCCCCCCCCTTCTGGGTGGTGGGGGGGGGGAAAAAATTTTTCCCCCCCCCACCCAGCCAGAACAACAAAACAAAAGAGACGTGAGTGGGGGGAGGCCAGGCAAGCCCCCTACGCAGGGGGGGAGGGGTTGATTTTTAAAAAATATACACCAAAAAAATAATTTAAAAAAAGAGTGGGGTGTTCGACCCCCTCACGCCCCCTCCCGCCATTTTTCAAGGGCCCTCCGGGGAACCCGCCCCGGGGGCCCTCCCCCCCCCCCCCCCCCCCCCCCCCCCCCCGACAATCATAATGCTTCAGCGTTTCGTTACGACCCAATTGCCGGTGGATTTGGGGAAAATATCATGGCTACTCCCCTACACGTCAGGTGCAAATCGAAATCGCGTGTTAGACTGGTACGCGCGAAACGTCCCCAGCGGCGAAGAGCGAGGAGAAACGGCTGTTTTCGCAGGCTAGGTACGGGGTACGGTATTACCGCATAATGCTCTTGCACGCACTGTCATGCGGGTGTTGGGGGCGGGGCAAGAAACACGCAAACAAAGTGTATTATGGGATATGTGGAAATGGCGGATTCCGTGATATTGGCTACAGGTAGCCCAAGATCGAAATATGAGCATCGGCGAGCATCGGCATTGTTGCGTAACATTCAAAATACAAGGATTTGTATGGGAAAAAAACCTTTATATAGAGAGAAAACCGTTTACATAAAAACCCATAAAACGGCCATAAATCGGCCCGTGGACCACAGGAGAGACGTAACACACATTTTAAGTAAAGTAAGCTGTTTTTCATTAAAATCCTTTCATTTTCGTAGGTTACAGAAACGATAGGCTTTTTTCCCATACAAATCCTTATATTTTGAATGTTACGCAACAGTGCCGATGCTCGCCGATGCTCATATTTCGAGCTTGGGTTACCTGTGACAAAACAGGTTACCTGCATGCAGGAGCCCATCGGGTGATGGGCTCCTGAGATTACCCCTTACCGCAGGCTACCCATTCTAGATCACGTGCAGTGTGTCAGAAAAGTGAAAGACATCAACATGGCTTCATGGCGAGAGGCTCGACGTTTTCTAATTCTAATTGTTTCGTTAGCCGTTTGTCTTAACATTATTGCAGTGAAAGGAGAAGGAAAACTTGCCTGTGTAGTTCAAAATACCGATGACAAAACTCTTCATGTAAAACTCGGATGTGACTCGTCGGAGCCGCGCGCAGTAGCTTGGGGGAAATTTCGGGACGAAATTCATTCTACAGGGTAAGTACTGAAGGAAATAAAAGCAATTATGAGTCAGTAATGCTATTAAAAATAATACTGCTCTAGTTTTAAATCTCACTTATCGCATTAAAGTAAATTGTAAGACTACATTTTTTGAAAAAAAGAGGAAAAGAGGGAGTTAAGCTTATGTAATTTACTTACTGTCTCGTGTCTCAAAGAGGAGGAAATAATAGTAATACAATCGTGGACATAAGTGGTGGTTGGAAAGTTTGAGAAAATTATTCTCGTTAAATGCTTATTTTTTTTCTAATTTAATTTAATTGCACATATGGCAGACCAAATGTGCAAGTTTCCAGCGGTCAACACTTATTTCCATCCGCCAAACTGACGTTGAAGATTAATGATTCGTACAGAAAGTAAGGGTTAGGGTTAGGGTTGTTGCTATATATATTCAAATCAAACCATTCATTGTCAGCAAATCCTCGGTGGTGTAAGGGTTAAAGTGATGCACTGCAGAGTTGAATCGAATCCTACTCGTGCCATCCTGAATTTTTTTGGTCCTTAAAAATTGAAGAGACTTTGACTTTAATTTTATGAACAGAAATTTCAAGATACAGAGAAATTTCATGTAAGAAAAGTGAAATGTCTTGTGAGAGCCACTGAGAGGAAAATGTCAGTTTGGCGGATGGAAGTAAGTGACGACCGTTTCCAGCAGATTATACAACATTCACTTTTGGAATGGGGTCAGTGTAGCCAACCCCCCAAGTCTTGCCCTAATGGCTAGCTGGATTTGTTCTTAGAAGTCCCCAGTTCAAGGGCACTTTCCATTCAGCAAAATTCCGGTTTGAAATTTCGCATGCCCAGTGGAACAGTAGATTCCGGTTGAAAATACTCGACCCAACTGAGCCACTACACATTTGGTAATATTGTTCTTGCAAGCAGGATACAAAAGAGTGGTACTGGGGACAGCAATTTTCTCAAATGGGAAGGGACATTTTGGTCCAACCTACTGAAATGGCTAAACTGGTCAAAGAGGACCACCATCAAAGCTGGTCCTGAATATTCTGGTAGGATTAAACCGAAATGGTCCTTTACATTTGATAACATACCAACCAAAAATTTCGAAATTTTGGGTTGAATGGAAAGTGCCAAAAATCCTTGATCACACTTGTAAATAGCCTCTCGCCAGTTGGGATTCTTAACCCTGTTAAGTTTGATTTGAATTATTGTTTCAGACATCTGCTCGGCCCAACTAGCATCAGTGCAATAAATATTGCTGAGGGTAAATAATATAAAAAAGAAAAGAAAAGGAAAGAAAGAAGTGGCCATGGGGTGGTACGGAGGAGGAAGGTTGGGGAGGTGTACATATTACACCTCATGTACAGTTGAACCCTGCTTTATGGACTTATGCTTAATATGGACACCTCATTATTACGGACACTGTTTTCTTTCTCCCTAGCCTTTACATTTTCTCTAAATTCAACCCACTTTATACGGGTGTTATAGTTCAGTTTTATCCTTGGTTTAAAGTTCATTTTTCTTTGTTTTTGGGTATGGTAATGTGTGATAATGAGTTTGAAACAAAGTGAAGCAAAATTTGTACTAAGAATAAAAATAATGGATCCTCAACACAGACAGCCCATTGATATGGATACCCAATTAATATGGACACTTTCTATTGCCCCCGTAGTGTATTTTTTTGGACAGTGGCCGGACACGATGACTGACCAAAGAAATTTTTTGTTTGGTCAAGTCTGGTTTTCAGACCAGTCTAAACAATGGGAAAAAAATGAACTAATCCTTGTGTAATTTTGTATTAGTGAACGTCATTGTATTTTTACAAAGAGACAATCTAAGGGCGCTTTCCATTTGTCAGAACTGACTAGCCAGCCCATTCCCACCTTAATGAGAATTTCACTTTTAATAAAAACTAGCCATCCAGATCAGTCTATCCAAAATATTATACACAGAGGGGAGGGTTTTTCAGCTAAACTTCATGGAAAAAGCCTATTTCGTTGCCAGAAAGTCTGGTCCAGCCATGGTCCGGCCTGCCAGTTCTGACTTTTGGAAAGCGCCCTAAGATTTACGGGTGAGTGTTTGGCTGTTTGTTCAAGAATAGGGGTCTGTGTGACCTCGGAGTCAACATTCCCGGCAAGTGGAACTTTTGGCCGGTCAAGACACCATTCTGGCCGGACATTGTTCATTGACTGGCCGTTATTTTGAGCCCTGGTTCGACTGTATCTTCATGTACCTTCCCAAGAAGTTTGAGAAAATATTGAAGGGCAACAGTGCAAGTTGTCTTTTTAAATCATAACTTGATATATAAGAATTCCTTTGTTCATCGGCAAGGGTCAACGTTGCACAGAACCTGCTGGAATGGGTAAACTTGGTAAGGGTTTCATTGGATGCCCATGGTCTTCAATATTTATAACCCTGTTTCAAGAAATCTTTAAAGTCAAAACAATCACCTCAGCCTGGAAGTAGGCCAATTTGGAATACCTTAGCTGGTATTAAGTAAAAGTGCAATATCGTTCTAAAGCTTCTTGCATCTAAAGTTGAGATCAAGTGCACTTTCCTTTTTTCAATAAAATGTTATAATTATGTTTGGAAAATTTGGTGCAAACAAACAAATATTATGGTGAAGATGGAATTTCCTTGATAAATTGGCTTGGCCCAACTTGTCAATTTCAACGGAAACTCTTTATACCATTTTACGTACATCACTGCCTTTTTTTATTTAAAGACTACTTACCTTGACAGGACTAGCTCAGTCGGTAGCTTGGCCGCTGAGTGGGAGGTTGTGGTTTTGATCCACAGGGTCAGACCAATACTGATCAGGGTCTCCAAAAATCTAGAAATGAAGGTACTGCCATAATTTGCTTTAAAAGGGTAGACCTATGCACAGCTCAAATGACCACCTTAATTTTTAGGTCCCATCTCCAGTTGGAGATGCAATGATGGTGTTCTCATAGTCATTTGTGCTAAATAACCCCGGGGGGGAACTCCCATATATGGGCAATATAGGTACGTGCCGCGGAATAGGGTATGTTTTTTGAGGTTCTTGGTCCTTAAATGGGGTATCTTTTTTACCCTTTTGTTTCTGTGTTCCTGGTGTGGTCCTTAGATAGGGTAGCTTAATTGTCTTATCTAATACTGGAGTGTGAAAACGCCCGCCTAAACGAAGATTTTTGTAAAAACTAGGCTTATTCTAGTATTTTATTCTTGATGCTATACATCCAATGTTACAGAGAAGAAACATAGTTTTCCTTTTCATGCTATTAATAATTTTGTTTTTTCCTTGAATAGGGTGTCATTTTTCGGCTTTCGGCCTTAAAAAGTTTATCAGTTTTCGCTTTCTTAGTCCTTAAATAGGGTTAGGGTTCTAAACCTTCGCGGCACACCCCTATCTAAAATTCGCAGGAGCACCCCCCCCCCTCTCCCCCCCGGGTAAATAACACTCAAAGTGCATTTATTTTGTAATAATATCATAATTTTTGTGATAGATGGTCATTCCTTGAGGTTCACTCAAATGGCTCATATCCAGATATGACTCAGGCAATGGCAGTGGGAATGACTGAGGGATTTCTAACTGGAGAATTGATGTACAAAGCTTATCAAAACACCCTGGCTGGTTACTGTGATTCTGAGCCAGAATTCTGCATGAAGCTTGGCAGGTTTCTTGGTGAAAATGAAAAATGGATGATGGCACAAATTACTAGTAACCCTGGTGACAAATATTGGTACCAGGTCAGTTAAAGTGTATACTGCTTTATGGGCAGGGTTAAAACAAGGTGCAGCTAAATGGTTAAATAGACTTTAACCAGTACGAACTGTAAGTTTATTTACTGATAACTTAGAAAATCTGATGTAGCCGTAATTACTATTACACTAATATTGACATTTTGACTACTAAGGGAGATTAAGAGTCACGTTTTCAGCAAATAAAGAGCAAATTTCAGATCCAATTTTAATTTTATTAATATTAGATAAAAATAATTTGTAGAAACTGTGAGGCATGGTTTAAGAATTAAAGTACCTATCGGCTCCATCCCTAAATGCTAAAAATAAAGTTGCAACATAATGAAAGTGAATTAAACACTCTTATAAATAGGAAAAGCAAATAAGCGTACATGTATAGATCTACATGCATAGCTTATTCAATTAACTGAAGATATATATTTTAAAGTAATACTGCACTGCCAACCTTCTGAATCAGTTTTATGGATTGACTTTTATAGTGTCGTAATCATTGGCCCTCTGTAGCAGCAAGAAAACCAAACTGTTAGCCCTCAATTAATCAATACCTTATTTGAGTGTCAAACTAACATAGCAGGGACCACTAAATGGGGACACTATAAATTAAAATAAGCAGCTAATTTGTATCAATTTAAATTGAATAAATAAAACTATTTACAAGTACAATCATTATTGACTAGAGACCAAAGTGTAAAATTAAAGATTATTACATGTGTGTTACTGCTGAATTTTAAAAACAAACTACTCATAAGAGCTTAAGCCCTGAACTTGTCAGTGTTATTGCATCAGTTATAGTAACGTACTGTAACTTCAATACAAAATACACTATGTTGGGCTAATGTCAGGTTTAATTCATGTTATTAGGTGAAGCTTATTCTTGCACAGTCTGAAGGCCTCAAAAAGGGTTATGCAGCAAATGCAAGCCTTCCCTCTATTTCGGATTTTGCATTCCTGTAAGTTATGACATATGATGATTGCAAAGATGTTTGTATTGAAGTTAAATTGATCCAGGAATGATATATGTTGCCTGAAGTAAGAGAAAAAAGAAAAAGATTCAAGTCTAAAATACCTATAAATTTTATAGTGATGATTATTATTTATAACAAATGCAGTTACCATAACTCTTGCCTTGTGGACACCTCTCTAATATGGACACCTTGCTAATATGGACACCCCACTAATGCAGACAGCAGCTAAATTCCAGGAAAAATCAAATTACAGGTGTTTGACTGAAATAAACTACTGCTAATACGGACTCTTGCCAATGAGGACACTAATTAACTTGAGGTCTCTGAAGTGTCTACTATAAAGACTATAGAGAAGTTGACTGTAGTTATTATTATAAATAATAGATATTAATAAGTTATTGTTTTTGATGAAGTGGCAAATTGAAATATTTTACCACATAAAATGATAGAGTATTAATTTTTGAACGTTTTGTTTTGGGCACAATAAACAGATAAACTAAATAAATGCAGGCTACAATTCAGTGATTTCTCTTTTCTGTTTTCTTTGTTTTTTACAGATTAGCGCAGGCGGATGGTGACTTACCAGTATTGGAGCAGGTGTTAGGAAAAAAGAACATACATCATGTGATTGGTTCAGGATCCTGTTCTGCACTAATCAAACTGTTGCCAGGCAACAAAGACCTTTTCATTTCTCAGGTTACGTGGAATTCATATTCAGGAATGCTGAGGGTGTTTAAACTTTATGATATCCCAGTCAGTGTGAGTGGAGATAAAGGTAAGTCATATGACCAAAAAGCTGGCCTTTTTACCAGAAACTACCCTCTCCTCCTTGTTGATTGCAAGTAGGCTTCAATGAGAATCATACATGTACAGTCAAAACTCTCCCACCATAATTCAACAGACTCCTCTCTATTACAGACAATTCTGTTGGTCCCTTTGATTTCTTAAGTCTCACATTACTGTTAAACACTCCACAAGCGTAAGCTGTAAATGATGTTTATTACAAGAACAAACTACATACTGTCCAATTACATCAGCTACAACACATGGTTCGTCCTCACTTTTCCTGGCAATCCTCATGGTATAGACACACTCATGTCATTTACCACTCACATGTGTGTCGTCACGCTACATTGCAGCTCTTATCTTCCTGTTTTTTCTGTCTAGTGTAAATTAATACTTCTACAATGTAGTTAATTCACAAGAAAAAATAACGGATTCCCATTTTTGGATATTTTATGGTATTTAAAGAATACCCATAAAAATCCCAACCAGGGAATTCCGAACCAAGTTCCATGATTGGGACTTGTCTCACTCTTCCAAATTTGGGATTTTTGTGGGTATTCTTTAAATATCCAAAAATGGGAATCCGTTATTTTTTCCTGTGTAATTAAAACCTGATTCTGCTACAATATTAAGTTTTATAATTGCTGGTTAATATTTTAGGAGACATCATTCCAGGAAGAAAGCAGAGTTTTTCCTCATACCCAGCCAGTATGACTAGTGGTGATGACTTCTACATGTTGAGCAGTGGCATGGTCAGTGGACCAAAAAATTGTTTTTATGATTTTGTGCTATTATTATTTTTGCCAGGATGTACTCATGTTTGTTATTCTACCCTCATCGTCAGTCCAAAACGGTAGAGACCGCTTAACCCTTTAAGCCCCAGTATCCACATACCAATTCTCCAAACTGATCTCTATACATTTCTTTAAAGAGGTAGTTGAGAGAATTTGATAAAAGATCGAAGCAATTTCTCTTTAGTGATCATTTCAGTAATTCTCATAACCTTATCTCCTGAAAATGTATGGATATTGTTGGGAGAAAATTGATGTTGATCACCTTTGGGGCTTATAGGGTTAAGCAGTCTGTGCCCCTCCCTCAGATCCCTTCATGCATGAGAAGAAGACCCATACCACCAGTAGAAAGGGGCTTTGTCACGAGGATATGCACTGTTTTTGGTCAATTCTGTACTGAAGGCATTACAGTCAGTGGCGGATCCAGACCTCCTGTTAAGGGGGGGGGGCTGATCATCCAGACCCTGAGATAAGGGGGGACCTGGTCTCAAAAAACATTTTTTTCAACCCTTGGAACTCAGTTTGGTCAAAAAATAGGGGGGGAGGGGGGTAGGCAGCCAGGCCCCTCCCTTTGATCCTCCACTGACATGTACTTAGTGCCTTCACACACAAAATGCCTCTGTGGAGTCATGAACAAGATATCAAACAACTGTCATCAGAGAGCACTAACAATAATTAATTTCTTGGTGATTTTGCAGGTTTAGCATTAAAACTCCATGACTGTCACTATGGGCGGGGGGGGGGGGAATTTTCCCTGTATCATAGTTTGTTATGTGGTGGGGGTGTACCATGTTCTGCTTACCTACTCTGTGTGGTGAGAAAAAAAAAAAAAAAAAAAAACCAAAAAAAAAAAAAAAAAAAAATATTTTTTTTTTTTGTTTTTTTGGGGGTTTTAAAATAAAACCCTCTGGATTGTTTGGGGGGGGGGGGGGGGGGGGAATTTTCCCTGACTACTGTTAGGATGAGCACCGGCTATTTTCATAGCAAACAAAATGAAAATGAGATCAAAAGAACTCTATGGCTATTCAGTTCACCACCTGCATACTGTACTAATTGCAAATATGCATAAACTTGCCATCGTTGGCAACATATGACAGGAAACCATTTCAATGCCTAAATTTAGTCTTAATATCAAAACATTAAATAATATCCGTGTAGCAGTGATAATTAGTTTGATAAGGAAAGAGGGATGAAGCAGTGACAAAGACAATTATGAGTAATGTTTCGATAGGTTCTACAGTTTTGTTTTTTCTTATTTGTTGTTTGCATAACAGGTATCTCAGGAAACCACTATTGGAAACAGTAACCCAGACCTGTGGAAATATATTACAGAGACTGGTATTGTTCTAGAGTGGATTCGTTCTATTGTGGCCAACCGATTAGCAAGTACCTCGGGAGAGTGGGCCTACTTATTTTCAAAATACAACAGTGGAACGTAAGTTATAGGCCTTCTGAAAGATCTACATGTATTCTCTGTTAAATACCTCCTTCCTATAAGCTAAGTTAGACCTTTTTCGACAGTGGTTTGGTATTTTTTAGAACACTCAACCAGATCAAGAGAAAATTAGTTAGCTCATTTCCTCTTGCCAGCTACATGTATAATCAGTCAAATAATAAATGAGTCGGTCAATAGGTAAATCAAAAAATCAGAATTAAGAAATATAAGACAAAAAAAGACTAAAACACTTCAAGACTGCAAATGATACATGTAGCAGTAGTCATGGTTTGCTGACATTTTGTAAATGAATAGTCTCTTTGCGTTGTAAGGGAATTTATAGCACTAAACCAGTGTTGCCATGCACATTTGTTCTGTTATTGGTCAGTTAACGTTGGGTTTAATACAGTTGCTTGCGACCACTCTTGTAAGTGACCAGCTTTAGTTATGAGCAGCACTGTGAAACCCTGTTTGAAGTATGACTTAAACTCTGAATTGAAAAGAAATAATTTCTTTTCAAGAAAAGCTTATTTTTCCGCGCGTCATCAGCAGTTATTAGGGAGGTTAGGCAACGACGACGGCAACGGCAACGAGAACGGCAAAAAAGCAATGAGTTAAGATTAGCAAAACAATACCTGTGCACGTGTATCACGCCTTTTTTTACATTTTTTTTGCTGTCGTTGCGTGACAACAACGTAAAACTTCCTATTTTCACGTTTTGTGGAGGAAGTGAATACTGACAAGACAATTATTTTCTTTTTGTTTTCCTGAACTTCGATGCAGTCCTTTAGAATTTCACTCCAGAAAAATTCGGCTTTTTTGTCGAATTGAACGAGATGGAATTTTACACGCGATAAAGTTTGAAGCAGCTAGCTCTTTTTCTCTTCTTAAGTGACGTTTTTGTTAAATGTAGGTGTCGCCGTCGTCGTTGCTTAAGCTTCCTGTTATTCCCCTTTGCTGATTATGTTCGGAGAAGTTGAAAAGAGGCTCTCCTTTTATATTCGTACTCTTTAAGTAAGTGTAGGAGAAGGAAGGGCGCTCATTTGCAACATGTTGTTTGCCTAGCGGGCGGGGTGGGGGGGGTGGGGGGTTGGGGTGGTGCCAAGGGGAAAGGTGGGGTAGGTTTGATGCATGTATACTCTTCCTGTATTTTCAATTTTTTATTTTCCTCAATACTTTTTGTTGTTGTGTTCTTTCTTTTCTTTTTTTTCAAATCAATCGACACCTGTATCTGTTGCTGCCCCTTGTGGTACTTCATGCGATGAAAACGTTTTTCTGGAACAGCTACAACAATCAGGTGTGTGCCACTTTCGACGTTAGTGTGCTTGGAGTAGTTTTCTTTCTAGAAAGTCTGTTCTGTTAAGTCGAAAAGTAGAAACTTAATTTACCTTGATCAAACTATCCTGGCTTTAAGAAGGGACTATGGCAGAATCTCTAATGTCTTCTTGTTGTGCATGGCCAAGAGGTTACCGGGTCCTGGACTTAAATCTGGACCTCTGCTCCCTGGTGGAGTCCCGTTCCGATCATGATTTAGCCTGCGTAGCGGGCGTTTGAAAGAAGTGCGCAAGAGATAACGGGGCATGCGTGGGAGACACGCGAGGAGAGAAGGAACGGAAAAAAGTGATTTTGAAGCCTCTTGGGCAGGCGCTACCTCTCCCCTCGCGTGTCTCTCCCGCGTGCCCCGTTCTTTCTTGCTCCCTATTTTCAAGCACCTTGCGCTGGTTCAAACGTTGGATAGCGCAATCCACCGGATAAATCACTATCCAGCGGATAAGTATCAGGGAAACCAATTGCGTTATCCACTAGATAGATCTTTATTCGGTAGATAGCGCTATCCAACCTTTGAAAAACCGGGGCCTGCTACGCAAGGTTATCATTATTCTTCAGTCAGGCTTAAAGAAAAACAGCTTTCGTTCCATTTGAAATAAGTATTTGTTTCCAGTGTTGTGTTTTATGATCCTTGTACAAGCCCCTCGGTGGGTTGAAAAGATAATTCATTTATCATATATTTATTTTCTTGCAAATTTATTAGTGGATGGTTCTTGATTACAAACGATTCACACCTGGAGAGAACATCAAGCCTGGAACACTGTGGATCCTGGAACAGCTACCTGGGATAATAGAATCAGCCGACATGTCTGTTTTCTTACAAGAGAGCACCTACTGGGCCAGTTACAACATACCGTAAGCGCAAACGACAGATTTATACCATTTTTATTATAATTACATTGTATTATTCACGCACCTAATTCGCACAATTACAAATTAATAAATTATACTAACCGTAATTAGCCCCTGCGAATAGGAGCGGGTAGTGCGATTAAATTTAGACTGATAAATTACATAAATTTTTAGTATTTAACAATATAAACAATATAGTGAAAAGACCTTTCCAGTATTCCACTCCAGTGATGACACACAATGAAACCAGGTCAAAGCTTGTCAAATTCACACTCTGTATAAATCACTGAATTTTTTTAACTCGAGTCTCTAGTTGGTTACACTGGTTGAAGGCGAAGCCGCGAATCACCTTAAGGACATGACCGAAACCTGTAACCTCGCATGAAAAGTCTCAGGGACACAGCGTATAAGTTGGTGCCTTTGTTTACAGAAATCCAGTAAAAGGTCTATTACAGACGGCAAGCAGTGTTGAAAGAATTAATTCCTGAAGATTATGCCAGCGACTGAGACTGGTAATCGCCTCAAAGATCGTCTCAAGATAAAAGCTTTAAATTCTGATCACCCTTGAGGGCAAAGATGTTTGAACGCATAATTTATGACCAGCTGTGTAAATACTTGAAAGATAGTAAACTACTGTCAAATCACCAATCTGGCTTTCGTACTATACTCACTCCACCGTTACTGCCTTGCTTGAAGTAAGTGATAGTGGTCATTGGATAGTGACCACGCCAACATTAATGCCGTTGTCTTTCTAGACCTCAGAAAGGCTTATTAGCATACCTTACCGCTATCTTAACTTGACTGCTACGGTATAACCGGCCCCGAAAGAGACTGATTCAGGTCATAACTTAGTGGTCGTTCACATTCCTGTGTAGTAAACAGCTGTGAGTCGGTAAGACAATTGTCACGAGTGGTTTGCCCCTTCGTGACCATTTTAGGCCCCTTATTATTTTATTGTACATAAATGACTTGCCCAATTGTCTGCATTATAATTCTCAACCGAGAAGGTAGGCCGACGATACAGGCATTACCTACGCTAGCAATGACATCAACGATTTTAATGAGAAGCTTAATTATGATCTGGACGGGGTCTATGTTTGGCTTGTAGCTAATCAGATAAGCTCACGCTAAACATGAAAAAAACCGAGTTTCTCCTCACTGGCTGAAGACAAAGACTATCTAACGTATCGGAGAAACCTTATATATATTGTCGTCAATGAAGCTCCAGCTAAACAGGTTTTAGTCCCTAATTCCCTAAAGTGAATAGGGATGACCATATTCAGATGATTTCTAAAAAGGTTGCTTCTGGCATTACTGCAATTAAGCGCGTCAGAATCTTTGTTCCTCGTGAAACCTTCCTCACTATTTTTCGCGCTCTTTTACAGCCTCGCTTCAAATACTGCAGCACGGTCTGGGCAAATTGTAATAACGGCCTCCAGAAACTACAGAACCGTGCTGCTGGTATAATTACTTCTTTAAATTACGGTGCTAGTCTGGTGAGCTCCTTCAGTTACTCAATTAGCATAAATTTGAGCTGCAACGTAAGGTCGATTTATCTATTCTTATGGATAAGGATCTTAATAATGAAACTCCTGAGTATCTGAGCTCAAAACTTATATTTTACGTATTGACTCAACGTTATATAACTTAAGAAATACGGTGAAAAAGAACTGGCAGTACCGCTTCCCCGTACTGAACACTTAAAAAAGAGTTTCAGTTATAGTGGATCAGTTTTGTGGAATAGTTTGCAGGATCATTTAAGGCAGGCATCGTCACTGACAAGTCTCAAATCAAGTATTCGTTGCCACAATTTCCAAGAGCAAGGGTGTTTTTTACACGGCGTCCTTGTAAAGCAGGAAGTTTTCCCTCTTTAACGCTTCATGTTAGTTTAATTTAAGTAGATCCATTCTTATATTCTATCGTATAATATCATTCGTTGCTAGTTTTTTTGTTTCTTTTTTCATTCCTAGTAACTGCCTAAAGGACTTAACCGTTTCTAAATGACGTTATGTTGTGTTATCCTATAATCTAATGGATGAACGTGTAAATGAAAACATAAAGTAAATATATTTAGATAAAATGAAATTTGCTTAACTTTGTTTGTTTTTTCTTTCAGGTATTTTCCGTACATTTACAACATTAGTGGCACCATGGCGAGTTACAAGAAGTTTGGTACATTTTTTAGTTATGCGGACTGTCCTCGGGGGCAGATCTTCAAACGTGATCACAGCAAAGTTGTTGACATGGAGACTATGATGAAACTCATGAGGCATGGAATAGTTTATTTCCTGTTACATGGTTCACTCTGTAACGACGGGAAAGCGTTTTCCTGGTTTATCTTGGTGGGAATTTTTAGAATTTTTAGCGAGAATGTCGTAGTGGCGGAAACAAGATATAAAATGTTAGAAGGTTTAAAATTTGCGATCGGGAGAGGGCGTAACCTCCTTCAATTAGGATAACAGTGCTGACTTTTCTGATGAAAAAAGTGCAGTGAAGCTTTCCGGGATGTCTATTTGTTTTGAGAATACGCGAAAAAAATCTCGTCCTCTTAGTCTTTCTCGTCTTCGAATCTAAAAGTCTCTATTCTCGCTAAAACACGTAAGAGAATGACGGTGGCTATCACGTTTATCACGCTTATTCACGCGCGCGCACTACTTATTATTGAGAAAATCTCGTTCGCGTAGTCGCCTCTTCTTGGAATTTAAAGGTCTCTATCAACGTGCATCAAAAATATCGTCTCTTTTGTTTTCTGCACAGATTAAGCTTAGAAACTGTGTTGGTATTTCAGATACAATGACTTTAAACAAGACCCTTTGTCTCGTTGTAACTGCACACCTCCTTACAGTGGAGAGAATGGCATCTCTGCTCGCTCAGATCTTAATCCCGCAGACGGAAAATATCCAATTAGTGCACTGGGACACAGAAAGCACGGCGGAATTGATGCCAAGGTACGTCTCCCTTTGCTATTAAGTTATGTATTTTAGCACAGACAGACGGGGCAAAAAGCAGCTTAGAGAGAAACTGAGCGATTGGGATTCTGAAGAAACCAAAATTAACTAATTTTCCGATGGTACTGACTAATCAAGTTTAATACCATCAACTGACAGTTATGAACTCATATGAATCTGAAGATGACCAGCATACAGATTGTCGAAACGCCCGTCCGGTCAACAATAGAGGATTCAGCTGATTCAGGACGGCACTCACTCAGACGGTCTTTAATAGGGAGCTTAAGCATAGGCGTGTTTCAGCAACGCACGTTGACCGGAAGTGAAATCTTCTTCATTTTAAAATGAATTGACAAATACCAAATTTGTATTTCTTAGTCTCTTTCGTATTATAGACACGATTTGTCCAAAACTTGGGCAATGTACTTCATCGCAGCGGATTCAGTTTAAGGCCATGCGTAGCCTTGACTACGAGCAGTCTCTATAAATTTGTCCTTCGAGTGAAACGCGTGAGACACGTAAAGGACCACCCGCATGACTGAAGGCGCGAGATGGGAGAGGCTCGACGCTCGCGCGCGTGCACTCCCCTCACTAAATCTAAAGATAAAGAGAGACTGCTCGCAATCTACGTGTAGCCTTCCGTAGAGCGCAAATAAAAATATTGCGATGAGGCTTTGTGTTTCGCTTAGTCTCGTTCTTAACCTGTTGGCTTGATATGTATTTAGATAACAAATTCAAAGATGGTGAAGGAATTGCAGTGCATGGCGGTCAGCGGTCCTACCCATGATCAGCAGCCTGTATTCAAGTGGAGCACATCCGGTTGGAAACGTCCCATGGGGCACCCAGATGCGTGGAACTTTGAACCTCTCATGGTCTCTTGGGAATAACACGTTCAAGCTATAACTTAGATGAGTACAGTCGAAAAAATATACACTTTTATTTTTTTCTATTCTTTTCTGTTCTTTTGTTTGCTAAAACCCTATTAAAAAAAAAAAAGAAAAAAAGGAAAAACGATGGATGGCCGGGACTCGCTTTAAAGAGAGAGTAGCGGTTATTCAAAAATAGCCTGTTTCATGTAAGATTTAATTTTTGATCCAAAAAAGAAAATTCACGCAAAAATTTCGGATTTGCTCTCGAAGCTTCGCTTCTCGAGCAAATGTTTATTTTTCGGACAATCTCTTAGTTGAGGGCATTATGCTGGTTTTCAGTGTCCTCCATTCAAAGTGAATCAAAATCAAAATCAAAGCCATTCGATAGATAAAGTCCAGAATCTGTGAAATGAAAGGAGGTAAATATACTAAGACCCTCGCCAAGATTAGGGTCGAAGGAATAATTCGTATACGAGATATCCGAGAAAATGTTTTACCCAAATTTATAGAGCTTTGTATGGAGACGCCGTGCTGGAGCTCATCCGGATGAGCTCCAACATGGCAGACGGAAACCAACAGAAACATCTGTTGCCGAGTTTTGCTACAAAAGTGTGAATTTACTCCTAGAGGAACTCATAAACATTAAAGTAATACTTTTTCTAATACTCGAACTGTTTAGATAGCAAAATTCCTCGAAAAAAGTCACTTTTTAAACCAAAATGAGAGCTATCTCGGCCGTCATGTAAATGCTGCGTCACGCTAAAGCTTAGAAATTCAAGCGTACTCTATTAGAAAACCAAGAAACCTTTTGAAGCGAACATTTGTTTGAAAATTAGTTTTCAGCTGCTCTAATACACCATGAAAGTAAAATCTCAGTAGGATGGATAGTCTTGTAATTTGAATTTTAGTGACGTCATGTGAAAACCAGGGGTTTATTTACTTAATAATCAGAGTATGGTTAAGGTAGTTAAAAGTGGAGAGTAAAATGACATTTTTTGAAAGGTTTGTAAGAGTTTACAGGACAATAAAACGTTTTATAGTCATTACTAGCGTGCAGTTCCTTTTGCGCATTCCAACAACACCAGCTGAGTCAGGGGCTCTGAGTCATGTGTACCTAAGGGAAGCTACTTGTTTCATACTGGCGATTATTTATGAACAAACCGATTTATATACTAGGGGACGGAAACTGCAACATAATTACACCAGATTGCCTTGCAGAGAAGCCATTGCCTTGGTTAATTTTTGCAATTGCTTCAATTTATCGCAGCTGGTTTCAAGATCAACTCGTGTAACTAAAACTAACGAGTTGTCGATCGATGTGATTATAACATCAAACCCACGCCAAGTTATTGAAACTGGTGATGATCATGATCTGCCCTATGTGGTTATAATACAATACAATACAATACAATACAATACTTTATTCAAGAGATAAAAACTTAAGTCACAAAATATCTCTTTTGGCTTAAGAAACTCCGAGGAAACCTTAGAGTTTCCTTCTAATCAACGTTTGGTGAGTAGATATTTATTTTACTTTTAAGGTGACCCGACCCAGTTTTTTTTAGGGGGTACCATCCTACTTTGAAGCTCTCTGGTATGCCCACCTTTACTTTTATCGTAAGTGTAACACATAGAATGGATAACATATAGATCAATCTACACTATAACATAAAATTTTTGGCGATCGGAGTAAATGTCACGTGGTTATAATGCCACGCCCCTTTAAGGTCTGAGTCGAAAATCTGCTGTTGCCAGCATTTTTTCGTGAAAATCTCTCGGCTACACATAGTGCGCATTAGTGCCTTGCGCTGAACAGAGTTTCACCAAAATCGCAAAGACCCAATTCGAGAAATTCAGCGGTTTCCAAATTTAGGTCATAATTTATGCGAAAATGATAAGCAAACTTTACACGGATTATATCTAATAAACTATGAGATTCATCTCTGTATTTTGGGCATCCTTATAACAGATGGGTCCTTGCAAGTCAGCAAAACGCTTTAGGGCCTTGTAAATGCGCGCGATTTCGAGCAAAGCAAACATATAGAAATTATAGTTTTCGCTATTTGTTGACGTTTGTTGGCGTTTAAGAGTCAATCTCACGACAAAAGCATTTTTTTAAAAATTCGTAGTTTTTTTTTTCCTTTAAATTTTTTCAGGGCCACAATTGATTAACTAACTACCCGGACTCTGAATTTCATGGTCATTGAAAAACTGTGACATTACCTTTAGCCCAAACTTGAGTAAACATTGAAGATTTTTAGCGTTTTCGCTGAGTTTGTGCTTTGGGAGTTGTAATGGATCACAAATTTCCGTTTGGATATTCCGTCAGGAAAAACAGGAAAATCTTTTCAGATGTTCCGTTAGACTAAGAGTAGTCCCCCATTTTTCCTCAGGGATAGAAGAGCGAGCGAAACGCGAGCGCGCGTGAAAATCACCCCATGCGAGAAAAGGCGACACGCGTGTCGCCTTTTCTCGCGTGGGGTGATTTTCACGCGCGCTCGCGTTTCGCACGGTCTACTATCCCTGAGGAAAAATGGGGGACTACTCTTAGTCTAATGTTCCGTTGCTCCCGGAAATTTTCTGATAGAACGATCCAAAAAGTCTAGACTGCGCGGCGGGCGTTCGCGCGCCCAAATTCTCCCTGCCCCTTCCCCTTCCCCTTCCCCTTCCCCTTTTAACGCAAACCCTACCATGCAGCCTACAAAAAGTCGTGTTCCATTTACTTTCCATCCTGATTTTCCGGAAAATTTTGGTAAATCAAACAACCACATGCTCTCACGCAAGCACACCTCATGTGTCACGCTAACATCAAGTTGGAAGGTGGTGATCAAAAACTCGGTAGGTATTTTTTCTGTTTCTGTTCGCTATAAGTGGTTGATAAATCTCTAGTTAAGTAAAGGTTTTGCGATTTTATTCAGGGGAAGCCTATTTTTGGCGTCACAACACTGAATTTTTTGGTCTTTTTTTGACAGTTCGGGCGCTCACGAACAGGTCATTTCGTTCATCGCTAACGAATATTACATTTACCTACGTATCGTACCGTTTCGCTTCTCTTCAGTTGTCAGATCTAGCCTTTTTCTGGCATTTGGTTGAAAAACGAAATGAGTTCAGTAGTCGCCGTGTCTAAGGCTTTGAAAAGATAAAAACGGTACTCGAAAGATGTCTTTAAAAATATATAATTAGAACTTGTAGAACATAAGCATTTTATTCGGCGCATTGAAACGGATGACAGGTCAATCTTGCAGAGCAGGTTGAAAGCCAACTTTATGGAGGCCTAGTCAAACCACAAATTGAACTCACTGTTATCTACAAGAATAGCAGGGATAATACGTAAGCTATAGAAGGTAGTAATCGAGAAACAAAAGGAAAACCTCGGTCAAGTTTATACGTTGTGCCTCTGCCGCACCGAATTTTAATTTGCTACAAAAGCATGGGCAAAATGGCAGAAACGAAGCTAAACGACGTTTGACTCAAAGTTTTGAATTAGGTTCAGGGGCTCCCAACGACTTTCTACGGTAAAATAACTGTTCGAAGGAGCAAATATTGCCTAGGTTTCAAAAGCTCGAGAAAGACTAAAAATTTCTTGGTAACCGTTCCATTCGCCCAAGATAATACGGGAGGTTTTTTCAAAATTAAAATTTCGGCTTAGTATACTTTATAGACGGGGAGCAAGGGGGTGTATATATAAATGCAAAATTTGCGATAAATTTACTCTACCGGTTATAAGAAAAATTTAGCCAAAAAGTCACTTTGTATATTCTACAAACCGAGCCGAGATTTTTGCCATTTTTTAACGGGTAATTATTTTTCATTTATATATAGAACTTTTTCATCACGAGTTCACGAACACGAGCGTCACACGAGTCACGAAACAAATCAGATTTACGTTTTCGCGCTTCTCGTAAATAGAGGTAGTGCAAAATGTCAAAAACGTTCCGTCCCTTGTTGTAAAACAGAGAGATTACTAGAGTTTTACGAACCAATAAATTCCCAAAGGAAGCCAGCTGTAGGTGAGTCTGAGCCCACTGAAGTGTGAAGTTACATCAAAAGATTCAAAACTGAATTTTAATCAAGCCACCAGATGCTAGTCCCGTGCTAGTTAAGGTCTTTTGGCCAAATTAACGATTTAATTTCTTCAATTTATCTTCAATTTACGTGTACACACTCGAGGATTTTGGCAGTTCAGGTTTCACGGAGATCACTGCAATCATGATTCACAGAAGCTTGCCCCCCCCCCTCTCTTTATACCTATGATTTTCGGAGGTTGTGTTTTTCACATTTTGTTGCCCAGATATTGTGACGGCTGCCCCATGTCCTCGAACTTTGGATGAGATGAAGTTTCGTGACGACGACCAATCCCTAAGGGCCTGTTTACAAGGAGAGAGGGTTGCCCTTGTGCTAGGGTTACCCTAGCAAGCGGGGGTTAAAGTTAGCTCTGGTTTACAAGCAAATTGCTTTGAAAAAAAAAAAAAAAACAGTAGTTTCTCTAGCAACCTTTGTGGCATTACAGGTGTGGTATGGAATCCCTAATGAAAGGGTTCCCAAGTCTCCACTAAAATAGTGGGTAATTTGGGGAGGGAGGGTGTGTGTAAATGAGAGTGTTGTAGGCATAAAAACAAATAAAATTGGTTAATAGTTAAATAGTTAGAAAAAGCACCTATATTGAGCGACCAACAACTGCAATGCAGCCACGTCCAACACAAATATATAGTGCAAAGTAAAATGTTAAAAGTTAAAAACACCGATATTGAGCGACCAACAAACTGCAATGCAGCCACGTCCAACACAATACACAGTGCAAAATAAAATAAAAGGAACTGAAGGGTTAATATATAATATAATATAGAGTTAAGGACCTTGAAGCGAGGGAAACAGGTTTCTAGGGCAATTATAGATCCACTAGCTATAACCGTAGCAAGATGCCTGTGGCATTGACACATGAAAGTACTGAAAGGTCATGGAAAGAAAAAGTACTTGATTACTTACTGTAAACACTTCAGATAGCCTCCACAGCAGACCAATTAGCAAGCAAACAAAAAAACTTGGAAACTCCTCAGCTAGTAGACAAAAATTCCTCTTCTCATGGATGTGGCCCACAAAAAGTAGCAAAAACAATTTTTTGGCTGCTCACGCCATAGGTAATCGTCAGCATGATGACGTGCAAAATGAGAGGAGTCTGGGGATGAACTTATCCCAGAAAATGAGAGGAGTCCAAGGATGAACTTATCCCAGCTGAATGAAAACAAAAATGGATGAAAAAAGGGGGGTTACCCTACTTAAAAATGACTTTTTTTTTTAATTATAAAAAAAGTAATAATAATTAAATAAACTGCCAACCAGAAAATATAATTATCTATAATGTTATTTAAAACTTTGAAAGTAGCTAAAAAGCCAGTGCTGTTCCAGTGCAAAATGAGAGGAGCATGGGGACGAATTTATCCCAGCTAAATGAAAAAAGAAAGTGGGTAGGAAAAAAAAAAAGGAGGGGTGGGGGGGGGTTAAACCCTCTTTAAAAATTGTTATTAAAGAAGATAAATAATTTCCTAACCACAAAAT